TATAGTGCACAGGACAGCCCCCCAAACAGAGAATTGTCTGCTCAACGTGTCAATAGTGTTGTATTTGAGAAACCTTGGTCCACCTGAACCACATGGAACTGTGGAAAAGAGGAAAAATCAGGGGCCCAATTCCAGAAGACGGGGCCCAGTTAAAGCAACAAATTTCCACCCTCAAGCCTGAAAACAAATCCTCCCCAAACCATCCATGCTTTCTCTCTTAAACTATCTCCCTTCTCTTTACCACCAAATTTTCTGAAAAAGGGGTTGACCTTAGCTGATTTACTCATTTCATTTATTCACTTAACAAACAATTGTAGAAATCATTCTTGTGTGCTAAGCAGTGTTTTAGGTTGTGGGATATAGCAGTGATAAATGGACATGTTCTCTCATGTAGCTTTTATTCTAGTGAAGAGAGGCAGACAACAAGCAGATTGTCAGATGGAAATAAAATGAAAACATAAGTAAAATTTTAAAAATTATATGAAGCAGAGAAAGAGGAAAGGAAGTTCCGAATGGACGTGCAATTGTAAATAGTGGCCAGAGAAGGCTTCACTGAGAACATCACATTTGAGCAAAAAAACTCAAGGAGATGATGGAGGTAGCCATGCAGATAGATATCTGGTCAGAAAGTGTTCCAAGCAAAAGAAACATTAGATGAAAAAAAACCAAAACAAAACACAATAGAACAAACAAAAACAAACAAACCAAAAAAAAAATCAAAGAGGAACTATGTCTGCTGCATTTGGAGAAATTTTTTTGCATGCTTATGGTAAAATCCAGTAGAAAGGGGGAAAATAATGATTCTGGAGAAAGAGGGGAATTCCTGGAGTGATGTCTTTGAGCAAGTAAGAACAAATTGAATCTAGTGCACCAGTGGAGAAGTTAGCCTTTGATAAGGGTGTGAACAGTATAACCATACTAAGAGGAGATAAGGAAACTATATAAACCAGATAGATGTTAAGTAATGAGAGAAGTTTGTGGAAGTTTTCTTTGATTTTTTTTCTGGAAAAAAAAAAAGAAGTGAAGCTATAAACAGAGACTAAGAATGATGGAGGAGAAGTCAGAGTTCAATGTCAAAATAAAAAATTTGAAATAGTCTCTTGGAAGAATGAGAGAGTAAATGGACTAGGTAACTATAGTAAGAACACCAGGCAGCATTACAAAGGTCCATTTGAAATGAGTTGTCATTAAACAGACTAGTTCCCATGGATATGTGTTTTTCTCCAACCATGTTCAATTTCATGGGTACAGAGGCAAAATTATGGAGAAATGAATCTAACCAAGATTGTTCATTTAATAAATATGATAAAGTGGGAGAAGGGCAAAGAAGCCGAGGTTGTATGCAAGATAGTGATTATAATGATCGACCATGGAATTTAACCTGGTAAGGATGAAAGTGAGGACACTAAGGGGGTTTGAGATTGAAAGATGGCGGTAAGATCAATGGACTGTAGGTACTGAGAGATACAAAGATTGTTGGGATCAGGGTACTAGAGGTGAAATAGAAGGATAGGACTGGTGGTTGGACAGTGGGATGGCCAAAATTATGAAGGGATTATAGTAATTGAGGATGACAGGGTCTAAAGTATGGCCATGGGCATAAGTGGCAGAGTAGAAGGAAGAACAAGATCATTGGCAGAGAAGAGGTCAAGGTGCCGAAAGGCCAGGTATTTGGAAAATACCATCACTGTGAATATCAAATCACTGAGGACTATGACAGGAGTAACAGTAGAGGAGTTTGCCATGAGTTAGGAGCTAAAACCTTCAAGATATGAGGGAAGAAAGCAGATGCTAGAAGATTAGTGTAAAAAGAAGTAATGAGTGGCATATTCTGATAGCATGTGAGGTAAGCCTGGGGAATTGAATCTTCTATTCCCTTTGCCATGGTCTACCATGATCTAGCTTCTTTTTCCGTTGCTCTGTAGAGAATATCTTGAAAGGATAATATCAAATCCTTGATAGAGTGGTATTAAAGTATTAAAAAGGAGGTGTGGTAAATGATGTGATCAAAGTAGACGTTTCTTGCAGTAGAGTCTTGGGAGAGAGTCTAATGGAAAGGAATGGAAAATTAAGAACATATCTGGCCTTTGGGACACTGCCCTTTCTCAACTAGTGAGGGTAGGAAGTGAGACTTGAATAAAAGGGACAAATGAAGTAACACAGTATTCTGGATTGTTTTTGTGAGCTAAGGCTGTATATGCTGAGTGATATAGGTTTGCTGGACTGTGTGTACATGGGTCTCCAACGGTGAAAGTACACTGAGTAGAGAATAGTTTTCAACCTTGAGTGTCTTTATTCCACCATGAATCATATCTATGCATGGAGGAGAAAAGAGCTAGCATATTTACTGAAATATCTGCTACAATATCTTTTCAATCTTCATCCCCCTCTCCTCTCTACAGCATTTGATATTTGGAATTACTCCACCCGCCATACGACTTGTTTCGACTCTTGCTTCAGAAAGGAGTGGCTCTTGTTTCTACTAATTTTTAAATCTGGAGTTCTTGTCTTAGGAACCACAGACCTCCAAAAATTCGTGGCTGGAACTGTATTTCAGTTTAACCAGTGTTCTTTGTAATCCCATGTACTTTATTTTTTGCATTTAAAAAATAATTCTGAGAAGGGGTCCTGCTTGATCAAACAGGCAAAGTGGTCCATGATACACAAAAATGTTAAAAACCTCTGGTTGATAAGTCATACAGAAAAAGACAAATGCTGTATGTTATCATTTGTATGTGGAATCTAAAAAATAAAACAGAAGGATGAATATAGGGCTTCCCTGGTGGCGCAGTGGTTAAGAACCCACCTGCCAATGCAGGGGACACGTGTTTGAGCCCTGGTCCCAGAAGATCCCACATGCCTCAGAGCAACTAAGCCCATGTGCCACAATTACTGAGCCTGCACTCTAGAGCCCTTGAGCCACAACTACTGAGCCCGCATGCCACAACTACTGAAGCCTGCGTGCCTAGAGCCCATGCTCTGCAACAAGAGAAGCCACCGCAATGAGAAGCCCACGTACCGCAACGGAGAGTAGCCCCCACATGCTGCAACTAGAGGAAGCCCACGTGCAGCAATGAAGACCCAACACAGCCAAAAATAAAAACAAATAAATTAATTAATTTTAAAAAATGAATGAATATAACAGAACAGAAACAGACTCACAGATATAAGGAACAAACTAGTGGTTACCAGTAGGGAGAGGGAGGGGGAGAGGGACAAGATAGGGGTAGGGAACTAAGAGGTACAAACTACTATGTATTAATAAATAAGGTACATCATACCTTATATATATATATATATATATATCATACAGCACAGGCAATATAGCCAATAATAACTTTAAATGGAATATAATCAATAAAAAATTTGAATCACTATGTTGTACACCTGAAACTAATATTGTACATCAACTATACTTCAACAAAAATGTTTTAAAACCTCTAGATGAATCCTGATCTTTCTATTGTTTATTGTACATGTTCTCCCTTAACAGACCCAACAATTCCTGAGATTTTTAACCCTCTTCCATCTATTTCCTTTTCAGAAGTCCTCATTATGGGCCTTACTAGAAGTCCAGCTTCATAATCAACAAACTACCTATATTCCTAAACTTTTCCTAGAACATTCCCACACCTCCTGGCTGTCATGAAACTCCATTTGCCCAATGACGATAACTTTCTCAGTTAAAAATCCAAAAAGATTTTGACATTCTCCCTTGATCAGGTTACCCTCCCTCCTCCATATTAATTTCCTGTTACTGCTATAACAAATTACCTTGAATCTTAAAACAACACAGATTTTTGTTTTAACAATTCTGGAGGTCAGAAGTCTAAAATGAGTATTACAGGGCTGGACCAAGGTGTTGGTGGGACTGACTCTTTCTGAAAACTCCAGAAAAGAATCTGTTCCTTGCCTCTTCCAGCTTCTAGAGGTAGCTGGCATTCCTTGGCTTGTGGCAGCATCACTCCAATCTCTGCTTCAGACATTGCCTTTTCCCACTTTGTTCTGCTGCGTTCCTCTTATAAGAACCCCTTTGATTATGTTGCCCACCCAGATAATACAGGATAATCTCCCCATCTCAAACTCCTTAATTTAATCACACTTGCAAAATCCCTCTTGCCACATAAGGTGACATATCACACGTTGTGGGGAATAGGACAGGGACATCTTGGGGACCATTATTCTGCCTAGCACACACTCCCATTTCTCTCATCTTTTCATTCTTACCTTTCCCTCCCCCATACTTCTTATTTCAATAAATAGCACTACCATTCATTTTGAATCCTCGGGCTAACTATTGATTTCCTTCTTTTTCTCACCACTAACTTTAAGAAAGAAATTAACCAAAATCCAATGCTTGAGTAAATTTTGTTCATCTGCAATATCTTTCTTAATTGTCTACTTTATCCCCAGTCACAGTCACCACCAAACCCCACCCAGATGATGGCAAAAGCCTCCTTGCTGGTCTCCGCTATTGCCTTATTCCTATCCAGTCTCTATACTATAGACAGCATCATATTTTTAAAAATGCAAATTTGATTAAGTCACTCTCGTTTAAAAAATCTTTCAGTGGCTTGGTGTATCTCAATTCAACATAAAGAAATTGGTTCTTCATATTCCCTGTACACTGAGCATGCTGCCTGCAACTGTTGCTTCAACAGAGAAAGCAGGCATTTCTTTAGGTGACCTACCCACGTGGATTCTTGAGAAGGGGAAAAGTCGTGCAGGGGTGTATAAAAGCGAAGTTGTGAGAATCCACCGCCTTTGTCTGGAACTGCCCATCCTCACATGCGGAATACATCAAGGAGCTGAATACGCTGCCAGATTTTCCTCCTGTACCTGGATCTCTAAGGTGGTCTTTGGGAGTGATACTTGTTAGAAACAATGCAAACTGCGAGTAAACAAGACCTTGCTCACCAAGGGGAAGTTGTGGTCAAAAGCTTTTTGTCCCGGAACCTCCGCCACGCTTCTCAGACTCTGGGAGCGGAACCGTGTGTGTGGTACTTCTCTCGGCTGCACTTTCCCCTGACTTCGATTTTCTCCGAGATCGCATCTGGTTACTAGAGGCCCTTGGGGACGATGGGAGCCACTTCTCCAAGGAGCCGGGAGCCTCTCCTGCCGCCAGCGTTCCCTACCTTCTGCCCCGGAGGAGCCCTCCTGGCGATTCTGGTGCTGCTCGAGCTGCCGGCGGCCTGGGGTGAGATGCGGGCGGGCGTGGGAGCGGGCGCGGCGGGCACTACCTCGCTGGCCCTCGCGTCCGAAGTGTCTCTTTCCATGCGCTAGGCGCGCGAGAAGGCAAGTCGGCTCCGGGATTCCCCTCTGTGTCCCGGGACCCTGCTGGCACTGGTCGAATTCCTCTCGTCGGGGGGCTTATGTTGTGCTCAGCGCAGACGATGAACAGGTGCTGCACGGAATTGTTTGCCTTTGTGTTAATACAGAGACTGGCTTATAGCAGTGCGGCGCTGATCACAAGGAAAGAAAGGGGGGTTGGAAATTCGACAAACTTGGGTTCTAATCCTAGAAACATATTAATTGTGAGGAAAGTTGCTACATGTGTTTCGTCATCTGTCAATGCGAATACTGATCTCTGTACCTCATGGAGTTGGTACCTAAATGGCATAAAGCGTGTCAAAGGTCTAACACAGGGCCTGCCACTTGATTTCTATCGTCATTACTTCAGCTCTTTGTTCATGAGAGTGTTTGGACAAGCAGTCCAGGGGGTGCAATTATCACCTGAAAAGTGCCCTGCATCCGGCTATATTCACCCCACCCACACCCCAAACAACCACTGCCATCATTACAGATCCCAGGTGCTTGGGGTTACAAGAGCTAGCTAAGCTGCAGAACCCTCAGTGTAACGGTTACCAGTAGAAGGAGAGTGTAGAGATGTTTACATATTGTCCTATTTTAGTCAATTGTTTAGAACAAAACTATCATGAAAATTTTGATGTGGCATCCTCCCTTCCTTCCGTTAGCTGCAAACAGGTAAACAGAGATTAGAACCCTTCTCTTCTTATTTTTGGCTTTCCTAGAAGTCTTCTTAGTTGCTTAGACTCTTGTCAACATCTTGGTTGAAGAGACAGTCTTTTTTTGCCCAGCCTCTTCTTGACAACTCAGTTTGCTCTTCGCAGTCACTAGACGTTTTGCATTCATTATTTATTTATTTATTTATTTATTTATTTTGCGGTACGCGGGCCTCTTACCGCTGTGGCCTCTCCCGCTGCGGAGCACAGGCTCCAGGTTCCGGACGCGCAGGCTCAGCGGCCATGGCTCACGGGCCCAGCCGCTCCGCGGCACGTGGGATCCTCCCGGACTGGGGCACGAACCCGTGTCCCCTGCATTGGCAGGCGGACTCTCAAACACTGCGCCACCACAGAAGCCCCATTCACTACTTGATTGTGCCTTCTCTTCTAAGAGGAAAAGGGAAACCAAGTTTCCAAAGAAATTGCTATTAATATCTTATCTCCTTAGACGTCATAAAAGAACCTGTTCACTGAAGAAATGGGATAAAACCTAAAGCTTTATTTTCAGAAGAGAAGCATGCCAAGTAAGTTAAGCAATCTGTGCTTATAATTTTTGTGGACTTTGTGGCTATCTGGCTCCCTTCTTACTGGAATGTTGTTGTAGCCTGTCCATGTTTATTAAATTACTATTTCAGTACAATCACAGACACTATTTTTTTCAATGTCAATTTATCTCTTTATTTTTAATGTAACATTTGTTCAATTTATAGAACTAATTTTTTTAACATCTTTATTGGAGTATAATTGCTTTATAATGTTGTGTTAGTTTCTGCTGCATAACAAAGTGAATCAGCTATATGTATACATATAACCTCATATCCCCTTCCTCTTGTGTCTCCCCCCGACCCTCCCTATCCCACCCCTCTAGGTGGTCACAAAGCACCAAGCTGATCTCCCTGTGCTATGCAGCTTCTTCTGACTAGCTATCTATTTTACATTTGGTAGTGTATATATGTCAGTGCTACTCTCTCACTTCGTCCCAGCTTACCCTTCTCCCTCCCCGCCAGACACTATTAATTACAAAACAAAATTTCCTAAGGTCATCATAATAACTTCAAAATGTGAAACAGCCTAAACTAAACTATCTAGTAATTTACTTGCCAAAGTAATTTAGCTAAAGAAAATGCTGATGGAATACTGACAGTGTGCACAGCACTTTGGAGTTTGAAAGAAATGTAAGAGAGAGCTATGCCTCCAAGGTGTATGCATACAGGGTGGTAGGGTGGTGGGGTTTTATGAAATCTCCTTAATTAGGAGGCCAGGGCTCTGGTTTGCCCAGCCTCTGCTACTTACTAGCTGGGAGCCTTGAACCCAGCAAGTCAATTAACATTCCTGATCTTGAGAGTCCACACATATAAAATAAACATAATTGGCATTCTGCTATCTGAGAGGGTTATTGTAAAAATCAGATGAGGTAGTGTGTGTGACAGGGTTTTATAACCTGAAAATCCCCACGGGGATCTACAAAACCATTACTAAGAAGTCACACAAGAGCGTGAAGGCCATGGGGTGATTGAAAAGGGAGATCCAGTGATCTTAACCTGAGTGGAAGGAGCATGGCTTTAACAGCACTAGAGGAGTGAATCCAAAAAAAAAGATTGTAAAGCATGTTTCACAGGAATATTTATTTTACATAAAAATTAGCACACTAGTTAAGCATTGCTAGGACCACTTTGCACATGGAGCAGACTCTGACGCCCTCACTTGGTAAATATACATGTTTAAATATATTTAACATTTAAATATACATAATATAACATGTTACATATAAATTAACAATATAATTATGTTATATTCTGTAATATAACATACTGTTTTATATACATAAATTGTTATATTCATATTATAAAACATATGCTATATTTATGCTGTTATATAATATAGCATGTATGATTACATTGTATATTGCAAACATATAATTATATATAATAGCTTTATTAAGTTATATAATATATATTATAATGTAATATCTAATATTAACTTCTTATAGTTTGTATATATTATATATAATATATAATATTAATCTATATAATACATAATGTGTATATTAAATATCATATATTATTTAATACCAAAGTATATATTATATTATGCCATATAGAAAATCTAATGTATATTATACATTATAACAAAGTATGTAGTACATATTATATATTATATAATACACCAAATATATAACATTTAATATATATCATAAAATATATAAATATATTTAAATATTTAAATATAAAATATTTTAAAAAAATTTAAAGTGCATGCTCTTTTTTCTTTAACTTAAAGAGTTACTTAAGCAAAACATTTTCAGGTCCCTTCAAGAAAGGAGAGTATGCAGTATGGGGAGCAGAGCATACTCCAGGTTGCCAGCTCATGTTTGAACAGACATGGAAGAAATAAAGGGTAGTTTGTACTTATAGTATAGAATAAGTCAACCTGCCTTGAGTAGAAGTTTTGAGTCAGGTGTATTTCAAAGTGGACTGTGTCATCCAAGACAAAAATCACAATAAGATGACACTATACACCCACCAGAATGGCTAAAATTTTAAAACTCACCATGCCAAGTATTGGCTATAAGGTGAAGTAACTAGAATTATCATACATTGCTCATTGGTAAAATGATACAACCACTTTGGAAACAGAGTTTTGGCAGTTTCTTTAAAAGTTAAACACACATGTATCTAAGCATTTCACTCCTAGGTATTTACTCAAGAGAAATGAAAGCATATGTCCTCATAAAGACTTGTTCATGAATTTTTATAGCGGTTTTATTTGTAACAGCCAACAACTGGAAACAATTCAAAAGTCCTTCAACAACTGAAAGGGTAAACTAAATTAAGGTGTATTTTTGCAACTGAATGTTATTCAGCAAACAAAACAAAACAAAACCACGCAAATTTTTATATGCAACACCTGGATTATTCTCAAAATAATTATGCTATGTGAAAGCTAGACAAAAATAAAAAGTACAAACTGAGTGATTCAGTTTATAAAAAATTCTAGAAGTCAGATCAATCTGTGTAAGAGGAAGCAGGTTGGAGGTTGCCTAAAGAAGGAGATAGAGAGATGGATGGATTACAAAGAAACATTAGGAAACTGCAGGGAGTGTGATGGAAATGTTTGTTGTCTTGATTATGGTGATCATTTCATGGTACATACATATGTCAAGAGTCATCAAATTGTACACTTACTGTATTTAATATATCTTAATAAAGCTATACAAAAAGTTTTTTTGTAAATTCTTGTATATCTTGAGTTTACAGAGTTCATATTAATATAGTTATCATAGGAACCATCCATAATTTGAGGGATTGGCAATGAAGGAGGAAAAAGAAACTAGATCAAGCTTTCTCAGATGAAGTTTCATATATTCTTTTTTATCTGGGATATTATCCAAATTTGAATTTTTAATTATTCCATATGCTATACCCAGAACTCAGGTAAGAATTTTAGGTAATTAAAGGAAAGTAATGCCATTCCAAGAACTATCCATTCCATTTGCTTTTTTGTTTTAGATCTCTGTCTTCTCCTTGTGAGCTTTGCTGTGACATTCAGCCTCTCCTAGTAAAACTTTTGGCACCAGAAGGTCCATTTGGAATCTTTTCCCTTGTCCAGCATCAATGGATGAGATGAATATCAAAATTACACTCATTCCACATATCAACTAAAGAAAAGGTGAAGGCATAACATTTGGAATCACAGGAGTTGTTTTTTATTTAGTAGTTTTTCCTGTTTGTCACGGTGGTTCTCAAAGTGCTGTTATCTATCAAAATCACCTGTGAAGCTTTTTAAAAAGATAGTTTCGTGGGCTGTAACCCACAACCACTGAATTAAAGCTTTTAGGGATATAGCCCGGACTCTTGATTTTTTCATTTTGTAGGTAATTCATCATTCATCTATTCATTGCAACAAATATGCACAGACTGCTTATAATTGAGTGCTAGGCACCTGGACTAGGTATTAGTTTAGAGGAGCAAAAATCATGGGGCTTCTTGCCTTCATATTATGCATATTATAGTAAGTGATATAAAAGGAAAAGTAAACTGCCCAATTAGAAATTATTATGGGGGTGGGCCGAGGGAAGTAGTCCAGATTCAAAATCCCTGGGAGGGTCAGGGAAGGCTTCAGAAAGGAAGCAGCATTTTAGCAGAGACCTGGAAGAAGAGTGAAAGTCAGAATG